TCCTGTAGGCTTTCTTCATTCCTTTTTTTCTCCTCTTGACTGGATAATTTCAAAAGATTTATCTTTGAGTTTGCAGATTGTTTCTTCTGCTTAATCAAGTATGTTGTTGAAGCTCTCTATTGCATTTTTCATTTTGTTCATTATATTCTTTAGCTCCAGGATTTCTGCGTTCATTCCTTCCTTCCTTCCTTCCTTCCTTTCTTCCTTTCTTTCTTTCTTTCCTTTCTTCCTCCCTTCCTGCCTCCCTCCCTCTTTCTCTCTTTCTTTCTTCTGCAGTTCAGCAGCTCCAGTTCCAGGGAGGGCACAACAGCATAGTCTCCATGCAGTTCTGTCAGTTGAGGTCAATGTCAGTGAAGACTGTGGAGGGTCCTTGATGGTCAAGGCTGTGAGTGTCTGTGATGGAAGTAGTGGTGAGGGTTGTTGGCCTCCTAGATGGCAAAGGATGCTGGGGTCCTCTTGATCACCTTTTCACCCGCAGACTGAGGTCCTAGCTGAGGGGATTCTTCTTGGTGCTGTGTCTGGCATGTGAGCACACAGGCCTTGATGGCAGTGCTGGGTTCTGGGACAGAGATGCACATGCATTGATGGTGGTGCCAGTGTTTGGGGTGCAGGTGCTCAGAGTGACAGTGTAGTTCATGGTTCCTGAGCTTGGAGTGTGAGCACATCTTCTGTAGTGGTGCCAGTTTCAAAGGCACAGGCATGCACAGATCGCCAATGAAGCTGGGGTCCACATTCTCTTAAGGCATGCCACATCAGCTCAGGTCCTGGTGGGTGGGGTGCAGTGGTGTCTTGGTGCTTGGAGGGGCAAGGTAGAGCAGCAACATGGGCCCCAGGGATGATGGGGTCCTCAGGCTCTGAGTTGCAAGCACACCAGCAACTCAAGCCCTGAAGATGGTGGGTGCTGGGGGAGGCCTAAGCCCTGAGGGGAGGATGCAGCTCCTCCTCTGGGGGGAAGGCAGCGGCTTGGACTCTAAGCAGGTCCATCAGGTGGTGAAGGCTGCTGGTGTTCCTGGTGGTGACAAGAGGTGTTACAGTTCTCCTGTTGTCCTTTCCCCCATGGGAAGAAATCCCTTAGAGGGGATCCCCTTTGGCACCAAGCTGCTTCAGACTGAGGGACAGAATGACACAAGTCAAATTTTTGATACGCTCTTCTATTTGGCCATCCTCATCTTTGTGCTCCACAGTGTTTCTGATACTTCTTCATTCTGTTCTAGATTTGTCCAAGAGCTATTTTCATTGGTATGTACACAGTGCAAATATTATTCACAATTTCAGGAGAAATGAAGACTTTTTAGACAAGCAAAACCTGATAAAATTAATTAACCAGCAGACGTGCACTATAAGTGTTAAGGAGATACACTATAAATGTAAGCGCATAGATAGGTTGAAAGTACCAGAATGGAAACAGTATATACCACACAAACATTAACCAAAATAAAGGTGATTGAGGCACATAAATTTCAGAAAAAGCAGATATTATGGCAACAAGTACTACTTCAGAAAAAGAAGGACATTTCACAATGATAACATGGTTAATTTAACAGGAGTACATAACAATCTTAAATTTGTAAGCACCTGATTTTATTTTGCCTCATTTATTTTGAAACAACAAACCCAACAATTACAGGTAGAGCTCTTAACATAGTTCTCTCAGTAACTGTAAGAAGCAGACAAAACATCAGCAAACTTATAAGGATTTTAACAAAATGATAAAGCAACTTGACATACATGGAACAGTCCACCTAACTGCAAAGACACATTCATCTTAAGTTCCAACGAGCCATTAGCCAAAGGAAACCATATGCTGGGCATAAAGCAAGTCTCAGCACATTTCAAAGAACTGAAATCATGTAGAGTATATGTTATATGACCACAGCGAAGTAAAAATACGAAATAAGCAACAGAAAACTAGAAAATACCCATATGTTTAGGAATTTAGTAAACCAGTTTTAATAATTATGAATAAAAGAAGTCACAATGGATATTAGAAAATATTTCTAATATTTTAATATAATTGATAATAAAAATGACTCATCAAAACTTCTGATATGTGGGATTTTTCCCTGCTCTTACCAGTTTTATTCAAAATTAAGGCACAGAAAAAAAGAATTAAAAGGCATAAGTGTTGGAAAGGAAAAGCTGAAACTGTCAATATTTGCAACAATTTGATTGTGTACAAGAAAATCTTATGGGACTTTATAAAATAACTGCCAGGTCTTACAGTGAATTTAGCAAGGCTGCAAGATACAAGGTCAATATACAACAATTAATTGTATGTCTTTTGTGTATATGTTCCAGCAAAACGTTATTTACAGAAACAGGTGACCAACCTGCTCACTAGTTTCTTTTTTTATTGAGATATAATTGATAGATACCACTGTGTAAGTTTAACCTTTACAGTGTATTGATTTGATACATTTATATATTGCAATATGGATCACCATCATAGTGGTAGCTATGTGCCTTTATCACATCACATAATTATCATCTTTTTGTGGTGATATGCGGTTAAAGCAGGGTGTAAAGTGAGCTGCAAGAATGATGTACTGATAGGGAATTCCCTGGCGGCGCAGTGGTTAAGAATCCACCTGCCAATGCCGGGGACACGGGTTTGAGCCCTGGTCCGGGAAGACCCCACGTGCCGCGGAGCAACTAAGCCCATGCACCACAACTACTGAAGCCCGCGCACCTGGAGCCCGTGCTCTGCAACAAGAGAAGCCACCGCACACCGCAACGAAGAGTAGTCCCCATTCGCCGCAACTAGAGAAAGCCCGCACGCAGCAACGGAAGACCCAATGCAGCCGAAAATAAATAAATTTTTAAAAATAAATAAATAAAAATTTTAAAAAAAGAATGATGCACTGACACATACCACAACGTGGATGACTCTGGCTGAGTGACAATTATGCCAAGTGAAATAAGCCAGACACAAAAGGACAAATAAAAGGGATCAGACTTTTCCCTCAAGACACATAAAGCAGAGTTTTAATTTGTCTTTAGAATTTAAGTGATCACCAAAGTAGTTTAAAAGCTTCTCAAAATATTGATATTTTAAATATCTTTCTCTGCCTACACACAGACACACACACAGACACACACACACACACACACACACTTTCTTTCTTTGGTTTCGACAATTACAACCATATTATGCATACTGTTTTATAATATTTTTGCAGGTATTTAATTCATTCATTCATCGAAAAAACGTTTATTAAGCGTCTACTATAGGCCAGGCACTGTAAACATTCGGGATTCAGTGATGAGCAAGATAACAAGGTCCCTGTCCTTAGAGACCTTACAACTTAGCTGGAAAACAGATAACAAAGACATAAACACGAATAAACAAGATACTTTCAGAGGTGTTACTGGAGTTTTGTCAGGTTCTTCACTCACTTCTTACAAAACTGCATTTCTTGAAGTAAGATAAATTTCTGGGTACGAAGGTGAATCTATATTTTTATATGCTGAGATTGGTTTTTATTCCCAAGAAATTTCCCCATGAGAATTTATCTCCAGAAAAGCCATAAGTGTAAGAGAATAACTACAGTGTGTAGGTAGTTTTATGTGCTTCCCTCTGCAGATGATGGGGGTGGGAGGGACAAGGAGCCCTTGTTACTCAGCTGCAACAGTGTGTGTTAGATTTAGGCCGGGCCTCTGTTCCTCCTGTACACTGGGCTGGTGCTCTCAAAAGCAATGAGATATGATCTCACACCAGTCAGAATGGCCATCATCAAAAAATCTAGAAACAATAAATGCTGGAGAGGGTGTGGAGAAAAGGGAACACTCTTGCACTGCTGGTGGGAATGTGAATCGGTACAGCCACTATGGAGAACAGTATGGAGGTTCCTTAAAAAACTACAAATAGAACTACCATATGACCCAGCAATCCCACTACTGGGCATATACCCTGAGAAAACCAAAATCGAAAAAGAGTCACGTACCAAAATGTTCATTGCAGCTCTATTTACAATAGCCAGGAGATGGAAACAACCTAAGTGTCCATCATTGGGTGAATGGATAAAGAAGATGTGGCACATATATACAATGGAATATTACTCAGCCATAAAAAGAAACGAAATTGAGCTATTTGTAATGAGGTGGATAGACCTAGAGTCTGTCATACAGAGTGAAGTAAGTCAGAAAGAGAGAGACAAATACCGTATGCTAACACATATATATGGAATTTAAGAAAATAATGTCATGAAGAACCTAGGGGTAAGACAGGAATAAAGACACAGACCTACTAGAGAATGGACTTGAGGATATGGGGAGGGGGAAGGGTCAGCTGTGACAAAGCGAGAGAGAGGCATGGACATATACACACTACCAAACGTAAAATAGATGGCTAGTGGGAAGCAGCTGCATAGCACAGGGAGATAGCTCAGTGCTTTGTGACCACCTAGAGGGGTGGGATAGGGAGGGTGGGAGGGAGGGAGACGCAAGAGGGAAGAGATATGGGAACATATGTATATGTATAACTGATTCACTTTGTTATAAAGCAGAAACTAACACACCATTGTAAAGCAATTATACCCCAATAAAGATGTTACAAAAGAAAAAAAGCCTTGCGGTAGTTATGGAGGGAGAGAGAGGGCGAGAAGCTGACAGCCACATTCGTCCAGAAGGCTGCACAGTGGTTTGATGTTATGTGTGCAAAAGGAGATAATGATGTACTTCCCAGCAATACCACTGTTCACAAGGCACACGGAAACACGTTTAGTCCCTGCGTGTTAACTGCATGTATAAATGTATATTCACCACTACAGTTTAGTAAACACACTTAAACTTTTGGCTGATGGCAAGTAAAAGCACTTTTTAGAACAAAGACTTTTAACTTAAATACTTGATGTGGTGTTGTCTTTAAAATGCCTTGTAATTACCAAAATCACTTGAACCATTTAGTACCTACCCAAATGTAAGCTAGTGGGCAAAAGAACATGTGAATGGCTAGTGAAGCAAACACCACTGTTAGTAAAAGAATAATATAAATAACTAACCTGGGTTTTCCATTGACATGAAGACAGTTTCTCCTGAGAAGGGGAATAGGGTAAGTGTGTCTTCATAGACCATTTTGTGTTTGAAGGTATATCCAGAGAAAAAGACAGACAGGAAGTCAGTCTGTGCTCCAACACTTAGAATGTACCAGTATGCCACCTCATGCAAACAAACCGACAGTTGCAAGCTATCAAAAACATAGCCATTGATGCCTGTAAAGAGAATGGAAAATAAAAGATTTTAGCAGTACCTGCATGTATTACTTTGGACTGTCATGATCTGATTAGAAATGATTATATGTTATGCCCGTTACCTTATTCCCAAGAAGAGATAACATTATACCTTTCAAAAAAGTAAATTGTTAATACTTGATCAGCTAGGTTCCAATGTCAAAGTGTGGAGAGTCACAGACCATCACAGTACTGATGGATTTAGATGCTGTATGGTGGGCGCAGGCTGATGAGCAGCAGGACGTTTGCATGCTCTCAGAGTATCTCCCTATACACTGCTTATTAGCTGCAAGGAGAAAAATAATAACTACACGGAGGAAAAAACCAGAAAAAAACTCTTGATCTGGTGATCAAAATTAGTATCTGCTAGTGTTCCAAATTCAAGGAAACAGGTATCAAAGAAGCAGGACAACTAGATCCATAACTAGACCCTGAAACAGAGAGAGGAAATGCTACAAAATATAGCACTGATGGATACAACTGGAATATTGGCTACCAATTAGGTAAGGTTATTGTATAAATGTGTTAGATAATGTATTCTATGACTGTTAAATTTTCTGGATTTCATAACTGCACTTTGGTTATATAAGCAAATATCTTTATTCATAGGAAATACACAATGAAGTATTAAGAGATAAAGGGGCACGATATCTACAAGCTATTCTCAAGTTGAAAATAAGTAATAAAAAGTATATATAGAAGAAAGAGAGAATGATAAAGCAAAAATAGCAAAATCTTAAAAATGAGTGAATCTGGATAAAAGGTATATATATATACCCATTAAGGGTATATATATATACCTATATATCTATATATATATACCTATTCTTGCAGCATTTCTGAAAGTTTGAAATTATTTCTAAATAAAAAGTAAGTAAAAGTAACACAGATTTCAATTTATAAACAGAATTGTTTCTGAAAGCCTCTTCCATACATCTATCTGTCCATCCATTCAATAAACATTTGTTTACCTGCAAGGTGGAGGCCCACAAATCCACTAAGCAATGCTCAGACACTAGCTTAGTGCAACTAATTGAGAAGCAAAGTTTCTTGCCCTACAAAGTGTTAAAAGATATTTTAAAGTTATTGTAATTAAAAGCATGGTCTGAATGCAGTATAGATGATTATGTCAATCAGAATACAGAGTCCAGAAACAGACACAGATATAAATGGAAATTTAATACATGACAAAGAGAGCACCCCAAAACAGTAGCAGAAAGAATGAACTATTTGGTAAACGCTGGTGGAAAATATGACTATTTATATGGGACCACAAAAGACCCTGAATAGCCAAAGCAATCCTGAGAAAGAATAACAAAGCTGGAGGCCTCACACTTCCTGATTTCAAACTACACTACCTTTGTAGTGATCAAAATAGTATGGCACTCGCATAAAAATAGACACATAAATCAATGGAAAAGAATCAAGAGCCCAGAAGGAAACTCTCACATATATGGCCAACTGATAAATGACAAGAGAGCCAAGAATACTCAATGGGGAAAGGATAGTCTCTTCAATAAATGGTTCTGGGAAAACTGAATAGCCACATGCTGAAGAATGAATTTGGACCTTTACATTACATGATACACAAAAATTAACTTGAAATGGATTAAAGACAAGCATAAGACCTGAAATTGTAAAACTCCTAGAAAACATAGGGAAACTTGTCTTTGCAATGATTTTTTGGATGTGACACCCGAAGCACAAGCAACAAAAGTAAAAATTAATAAGTGGGACTACATCAAACTAAAAATCTCCTGCACAGCAAAAGAAACGATCAACAGAATGAAAAGGCAACCACCTATGAAATGGGAGAAAATATTTGCAAAGCATGTATCTGATAAGGGATTAATGTCCAAAATATATAAAGAACTCATACAACTTAATAACAAAACAAACAAACAAGCAAAAACAATTTGATTTTAAAAATGGGCAGGGGAACTGAATAGACATTTTCCCAAAGAAGACATACAAATGGTCAACTGGTACATGAAAAGATGCTCAACAGCACTAATCATCAGGGAAATGTGATCCTCAGTGAAATAAGTCAGAGAAAGAGAAATACTGTATGATTCCACTTATATGTGGAATCTAAAAAATATGAACTCATAGAAACAGAGAGTAGAATTGTGGTTACGAGGGGCTGGGGTGTGTGTGTGGGAAATGGACAGATGTTGGTCAAAGGATACAAACTTCCAGCTATGTAAGAGGAATAAGTTCTGGGGATCAGCATGGTGATTTTGTTAATAATACTGTATTATATACTTGAAACTTGCTAAGAGAGTAGATATGAAATGTTCTCACCACAAAAAAGAAATGGTAATTATGTGATCTGGTGGAGGTGTTAGCTAACACTATGTGTTATACACCTTAAACTTTTATACAATTTTATATGACAATTTTATATTAATAATGCTGGAAACAAAACAAAACAAACAACAACAGTCTGTGTATAAAGGGTAAAATTTCAAAGGTATTACCCCCGCAATGGGAAAAGACGTGTGCATAACTCCCAAAATAGTAAAGAAAAATCGGAATTTAAAAACACTTAATTGATCAAAAAATAAAGGAGAAAATACTAAAAATTTAGAAAAAAAGGAAACACAAATTACTATAAATAAATCCCATGTAGATAGGATAAACTCCCCATTTAAGAGGGAGATGGTCTAGGACTTCCCTGGTGGTCCAGTGGTTAAGACTCTGTGCTTCCACTGCAGTGGGCACAGGTTCAATCCCTGTTCAGGGGAACTAAGATCCTGCATGCCAGGTGGTGCAGCCAAAAGAAAGAGGGGAGAGAGAGAGAGAGAGAGAGAGAGAGAGCGCGAGAAAGCGAGAGAGAGAGATGGTCTAATGGGATCTCGTCCTCAGCACAGATTCTCCCAGGGTCTCCGCACAGATTTGCTCTGGCCATTGGCTCCTCCTGATTGGCAGAGTCATCCTTGGGGGGTTTCTCCTCTATTCATATGGCTTTCCTTCCTGGGGCTGCTTGGCAGAGAGTCCCTGGCTCAAGGCTCAGGGGTTTGGAGCTGGCTCCAGGTTCTCTGATTATTTCCAAGTTTTAGCAATTATGGATAGAGCTGCTGTATACATTCATGGACAGGTTTTTGTGTGAACCTAAGTTTTTATTTCTCTAGGGTAAATACCCAGGAGTGGGATTGCTGGATCATATGGTAGTTCTATGATTAATTTTTGAGGAAGCTCCATACTGTTTTCCATAATGGCTGTGCCAACTTACATAGCCACCAACAATATACAATATTCTGCACATCCTTGCCAACATTTGTAATCTTTTGTGATTTTGATAACAGGCATTCTAACAGGTGTGAGGTGATATTTCATTGTGGTTTTGATTTGCATTTGCCAAACTGTCTTCCAGAGTGACTAAACCATTGTACACGCCCACCAGCAATGCATGAGGGCTCCTGTTGCTCTGCACTCTTGCCAGCATATTTAATATTGTCCGTTTTGTTTTATTTTAGCTGTTAAACTAGACATGTAGCAGTATCTCACTATGGCTTTAATATGCATTTCCTTAATGGCCAATGATCGAGTATTTTGTCATATGCTTTGTGCCTTCCGTATATCTTCTCTGGTAATGTGTCTGTTCAAATCTTTTGCACATTATTAGGCATCTGTTTGTTTTCTTACTGCTGAGTCTGAGAGTTTACATCTGGATATGTGATTTGCAAATATTTTCTACCAATCTGTGGCTTGTCTTTTCATTCTCTTTAACAATATCCTGTGTAGAGCAAAAGTTTTTCATTTGATGAAATCCAATTTATCAAGTTTTTCCTTCTATTAATTTTGATTTTGGTGTCATTTATCAGAACCCTTTGCCTAACTCCAGGTCATGAAAATTTCCTTCTATGTTTTCTTTGAAACTTTTTGTCGTTTTACATTATACATTTATATTTTTAAATATAAATTTATTTATTTATTTATTTATGGCTGTGTTGGGTCTTTGTTGCTGTGCACGGGCTTTCTCTAGTTGTGGCGAGCGGGGGCTACTCTTTGTTGCGGTGCGTGGGCTTCTCATTGCAGTGGCTTCTCTTGTTGTGGAGCACGGGCTCTAGGCGCACGGGCTTCAGTAGCTGTGGCACATGGCCTCAGTAGTTGTGGCTCACGGGCTCTAGAGAGCAGGCTCAGTAGTTGTGGTGCACGGGCTTAGTTGCTCCACAGCATGTGGGATCTTCTCGGACCAGGGCTCGAACCCATGTCCCCTGCATTGGCAGGCGGATTCTTAACCACTGCACCACCAGGGAAGCCCTTACATTATACATTTAGATCTATGATCCATTTTAAGTTAATCTTTAAGTGTGAGATTTAGGTTGAGGTTCATCTTTTTGTATATGGGTGACTAATTGTTCCAACACTATCTGTTGAAAAGACTATTCTTTCTCCATTGAATTGCATTTCCATCTTCATCAAAAATCAATTAGTCATATATGTGTGGGTCTATTTCTGCACTATATATTCTATGTCATTCATCTTTGTCAATACAATGCTACCTTGGTTACTGTAGCTTTATAGTAAGTCTTAAAATCAGGTAATATGAGTCCTCCAATTCCATTTTTCTTTTTCAAAATTGTTTTGGCTATTCTAATGCTTTTGGCTTTCCATATAAATTTTTTTTTTTTTTTTTTTTTTTTTTTTTTTGTGGTACGCGGGCCTCTCACTGTTGTGGCCTTTCCCGTTGCGGAGCCCAGGCTCCAGACGCGCAGGCTCAGCGGCCATGGTCCACGGGCGCAGCCGCTCCGCGGCATGTGGGATCTTCCCAGACCGGGGCACGAACCTGTGTCCCCTGCATCGGCAGGCGGACTCTCAACCACTGCGCCACCAGGGAAGCCCTTTCCATATAAATTTTACAATATACTTTTCCCTACCAACAAAAAAAATCCTCCTGGGATTTTAATAGGAATTGCATTATATCTATAGATCAATTTGGGAATAGCTGACATCTTCACTCTATTGAGTCTTCCAATCCATGAATGTTGCATGTCTCTCCACTTATTTAGGTCTTTTAAAATTCCTTTCATCAGTGTTTTCTAATTTTCAGTGTACAGATCCTGCATGTTTTGTTAGATTTAGGCCTAAGTATTTCATTTTTTGAGCTATTATAAATGGTATTATTTTTGTAATTTAAGTTTCCAATAGTTGGCTATTGTTACATAGAGATATGACTGACTTTGGTATGTCAACTTTGTATTCTGCAATCAGACTAAACTCACTTATTAGTTCTAGGAGCTTTTTTGTGGTGATCTTGAGATTTTCTATGTAGATAATCATGTCATATTCAGTTTTAGTTCTTTACTTCCAATCTGCATGCTTTTAAATCTTTCTAGTTTCCTTCCCCAATTTACCTGCTGCCAACTACTTTTCAGGGTTCTCAGATAGCTGCTCCATGCATTTTGTATGGAACAATCCTTAACTATCATTCAGTAGGATAGACAGGGTGATTCCATCTTAAACAGAACCAGAACTGCAAAATGCATATATTTTTAATTTTAACGGTTTCAATCAGATTGGTTTCAAAAAGACTGTGCTAGCTATCCACTAGCATTGTATGCTAATACTCTTTTACTCACAAGCCCACTAGTAATAATTATATTATAATTTTGCCAGTCTGACAGGTATTAATTGTTATCGCAATGGTATTCTATTTTGCATTTCTCTGTAATGAGACTGACATTTTTTATCAAATTTTTGACCATTCTGACTTGTGTGTGTATATAAACACATACACATATGTGCTCCCACCCAAATTCATATGTTGAAGGTTCTAACCCCTAGTACCTCAGAATGTGACTGCATTCAGAGATAGGGTCTTTAGACAGGTAATTCTTTAAAATGAGGTCATTAGGGTGGCCCTAACCCTATATGATTCGTGTCCTTATAATAGGAAATTTGTACACAGACATGTGCACACACAAAGGAAAGACCACCTATAAGCCAAGGAGAGGGACCTCAGAAGAAACCAATCCTGTTGACACCTTGATCTCGGACTTCTGGCCTCTAGGCTTATGAGGAAATAAATGTCTACTGTTGAAGCCACCCAGTCTCTGGGACTCTGTTATGGCAAGCCTAGCAGACTAATACAACATATATGTTTTTGTTTTATTTTTGTTTTTTTTTTTGTGGTGTGTGGGCCTCTCACTGTTGTGGCCTCTCCCGTTGCGGAGCACAGGCTCCGGACGCGCAGGCTCAGTGACCATGGCTCACGGGCCCAGCCGCTCCGCGGCATGTGGGATCCTCCCGGACCGGGGCACGAACCCGTGTCCGCTGCATGGGCAGGCAGACTCTCAACCACTGTGCCACCAGGGAAGCCCTGTATATGTGTTTATATATTATTATATAATCATAGAAAAATATGTTTTAACATGGGCTACTGGACACAAAATGATTAGTGGAAAGGTATAATATGGAAGGAGGAGGGAAGATAAGAGGGAAGGGGAAGCCAAATAAATATCAAAAAGATCATGTTGTACACTTCAAATATGTACAATTTTTATTTGTCAATTATACCTCAATAAAGCTGCAAAAAAAAGATGTTGGTTTTTTTTAAATGTACAATGTCGTGATTAATTTGACTGTTAAATTGTTATAGCTGGCAAGTTTTTTACATAATGTAAAATTGCATTCGCTTTGTATTTCATGTGTAATTTACTGATTGAGCACATTTCATATTAAGGATGGCTTATGTATGTTTGGGTAAATGAAAACTGTGTGTCTGATTTATCCTTTAAAAATAAACTTCACTGACTATTTGATGCCTTCTAAAAGAAAATATATGCATTATATGATCATATTTATGCATTTATATAAAATTGCATATGTTCATATGTAATAATGTTTAAGGAAATATGACTCTTATGTGGCACATAAATTAACTGCCCATCAATTTGGTGTCTTCAGTTTCCCTTTATCCATTACCCACTGGACTCAAGTGCTGCTTTACTTACTGTGCATGATGTTGGAGACTTGGAACTCAGGATCCTGGGGCTGCACTCCATCTGCATTGGGGAGGAAGCGCTGAATATTCTCTGTGAGGTACCAGCTTTGATTCTCATCAAATACAGAAAACAGGATGACATTTCTCTTGTCTGACATCATCTATTAATTACATGGAATGAAAGGAAGAAAGAAATGCTACTAGTATTGTCAGGTAGAAATTAGCAGTCTATGATGGAAGTGATGGCATGCATATGATGTATCTACAATCCTCTGGTTCAATGCCATTTCTCCCTAGGGTCACTATTATGGCATGTCCCAGGGCCTGGGAGCAGTGAGTATATGTTTAGAGCAAATGTGTCCTCAGAGCAAGAGGGTAACTGGACCCATTAAACTTAGTTTCTTCTGGACCCAAGGCTGGCTGATTGTTTTGGGAGAGTCTGTAGCCTCATTCTCTCCATGTTTAGATTAGAGAATTTTCACTCTTTAAAGACCCAAGTGATTATTCAATGTCTTTCTTAAACAATTTAGTCAAATCAAGTAAGGTGAATGCCTTCCCTAAACTTTCATCTAGCAAATGCCCTTCCACAAGACTACCAATCTGTGAAAAATTAAAAATACAAAATAGAAGTAAAATAACAAAGCTAAGATGAACCATAAAATGTTTATTAACACTAACACTTTTAGGTTTTATGTTTACAAAGTTGAAAGTTTTTTGGGGGGGAGGAGCTCTTTGTATATGAACCGAAGTTATGAGTTAGTCACTTGCTAATTGAATCCGCTAAGAATTAATGTATAAACTTCACTAATATGTATAAATTTCATCTTGTGTAAACTATTACTACAGAAATTAAAATGCTGAGGGGAGGAGATTGGAGAATATAGGTACATTTCAGTCCTCTTCCAAAAACTGATGGAAAACTATAATTAGGAAAAATTAGGAAAGATACTTGGCCAAACTGATGCCTCTCTGGGTTTGTGTGCCACGTGTTTTACCTGCATTAAAGTTCATAAAATGTTTTCAGACTAGTAGGAATCCTATATATCATAAATAACCAAATGGACATGTAGTCAAGCCTCAGCAATATGGCAATGAGTTATTTTGCAGCCAAGCAATGAGTTTTTGTGAAGAATCAAGCTTTTTAAATTCAGAGTATTTAATTTTTTCTAAAATGGCAGAAGTGGTCCAAATTCTAACCATATTCTGAAATATTTTACATATTGCCTTGAATTTTGCTCAACAAATATTTACTGAACTCCTACTAAAATACCGCACACTATGCTAGATGCTGCACATGTGTTCATTTTGAGGTGTCTTTGAATCTCCCACAGTGAGACGTCCAGGGGTGACGTCTAAGCTATCGTATACATTTGTGGGTCATCTGAAAATAGGTGGTAATTGATCATGTAAAAATGGGCAAGATCACTTACAGAGAGAGGAATTTTAGACTGAGAATGAGTATTATAGAAATAATCTAGGGCCCAGGCTCTCCTATCCATCCAGCAGGCAAGTTTATTACACCAAAGTCAAATTCAATAAAAGCAGTGAGAAACCCAGCTCATTTCTTTTTTTGCTCAATAGTGCAGACTACTATATTTTCTGCAGGCTCTAGGTGGATGTACACTGAGAGAATATAGGAAATACTATCTGCAAGTTCATGTGCGTCATCATTCCATTTTAGCTTCAGACCCAGCACTTGGAAAGAGATGAGCTCACCTGGTTTCCTCTTTGATCTACAGATTCTTTGTAGCAGATGAGGAGAGGGCCAATGAGTCCTGAAGCTACATCTCTCTCTAGATTAACGAAGCTTGAGTAATATCGGGTCAGGCACCGAGGATCTGATTTAGTTGGCCCATCTTCTACAGTCACTGTCCATTTATATTTGAATATCTCTCCTGGCAGAATGGGCATATCTTTCAAATGTTTCACACCTACCCACACCCAAACCCCAAAATAGCTTGATTAGAAGTATAACAAGGCACACATTGGTAATCGTGTCGTTATTACAATGGCTCTACAAATGTATATGTACATATAAATTTTCTCAATAAGTGAAAACTAAATTTGCACCTCTTATAAGTTTAAGATTCACACAACTTTTTACAACAAAAATAGGTTCAGGAGGGCTTCCCTGGTGGCGCAGTGGTTGAGAGTCCGCCTGCCGATGCAGGGGACACGGGTTCGTGCCCCGGTCCGGGAGGATCCCACATGCTGCGGAGCGGCTGGGCCCGTGAGCCATGGCCGCTGAGCCTGCGCGTCCGGAGCCTGTGCTCCGCAACCGGAGAGGCCACAGCAGTGAGAGGCCCGCGTACCACAA